ACACCGAGGGACTGGCACTGCTGGGAAAGAGACTGTGAGAGACTTGGCTGAGAGACGGTGGGCTGGGAGAGAGATTGAGCATTCTTCCTGAACTTGAGTTGTAGCCTGGTGCTTCCCTAATAAACCCCATAATCTGTGAGTTCTGTGTGGCCACTGCAGCGAATTATCGAACCCAGAGGAGAGGTGGTGGGTGCTTTGGGAGGAACGGTTGGTGAAAGGGCTGGAGGGAGGCAGCATGTCTGGCCTTGCAGGAATAGGCCTTGCACTATTGATGGTGACTCTGCCTTCCTCTTGTGGGGTTCTAGGAGGTCAGAACATGTGGCCTCCTTGCCATTTTAGCAGTGCCTAAGGTACTTGGAAGGAGCTCTGGTAGCATAGTGGCTAAAGCACTTGACTGCTAACCAGAAGTCTGGTGGTTCAAACCCACCAGCCACTCCTTGGAAGGAAGGTTGGGCAATCCTACTTCCGTAGTGATACTGCCTCGGAAACCCAAGGAGGGGTCGCTATGAGTCGGGGCCGACTCGACAGCACATAACAACAACAACAACAAGGTACTTGGATGCTAACCAGAAGGTTGATGGTTCAAACCCACCAGCCACTCCTCGGAAGGAAGGTTGGGCAATTTGTTTCCGTAGTCAAACTGCCTCAGAAACCCAAGGAGGGGTCACTATGAGTCAGGTCCAACTCGATGGCATATAACAACAACAACAACATATGACTTCCATTAGTCTTTGCTTCTTTATAATGTGCTTTGTTCAATTCAGAATGGGTTTAAACTTAACAAAAATTGCCTGATCTTTGCCTCAGCAAAATTTCAGGGCAGGGGTTCATAACAGCTAACAGTTTCAATTTCTGGCAATATCTACACCTTTATGATGAAAGACACCCTAGTAAGAGGTATAACCTGGTTCACTTTTAAGCCAGGAAGCCAAAACTATACTCCACTGCAATATAAGAATAAGAAGAATAAACCTTTATTCACAAAAGCATCAGGTGTACTCATTTCTGAACAGTATTCACAACATACCTTCTTTTCCTTTTCTCTCCTTTTCCTAGGAGATAAATTATAGGTAATAACAGAATGCTTGACTTGTTTGAGGCATTGATGCCCTAGCTTTTCAAGTTACAATCAAAAGCTGATGTTAGGAGTAGGAATCCCCTTGGTAGTTCAATGTTACAGGCAAGGTGAAACATTAGCAACAAAACTCACTTTGTTGATTCACATTATGTGGGAGGAATGAAAGTCCAATATCATTCTTCTCATACAAAAGTATGGGAAAACTAAAAGAACAGCAAGGACCATTTTTGCCCCTCTGGAGATGAAAACTGGAATATGCTTAGTTTGAGAGAAAGCAACTCAAACCTCATATAACAATAAGGGAATGAGGGGCAAGGACAATTCATAAACTAATTGGATTACTGGCAGTAGATAATCAAAGCCTATGATGTTTGCTATGAATCTGACAAAGTTCACAGGAGAAAGATGTTTCTGAAAAATTGTGTATGAATATTTTTAAATCAAACTGAATTGTTCTAAAAGCTCTAGGTAAGACAGCAGTTTAAAGGAGTGCTGGTGAACAATAAGAACTCATGTCTGTTAATCTGTAAACTCTGCGGTAAAAGTGTCTATTTAGAAACCACAAGAGACAGTTGTTGAGAATTTGTTAAGTTACGATAAAAGCATATTTAGTATGTTTTGAGAGACACTTAAATTAAAAATCTTTATTTTTTCCAATGTTTTAAAAATTGGGATTATAAACTTTTTTGGTTATAATAATAAAATTTGGAGGGAATGTGCTAAGGAAATAGTGGTGAGAAAAGTTCTAAAGCAGCTGAGTACCAAATCCTCTTTTTCTTTGAAACTCTGTTATATAGATGAATAAAAACTAACTTTAACATAGACATGTCAAGCTTTCAATCCTAACCTTATCTCTCAGCTACAGCTGTGTGACCCTTGGCAAGTTATTTATGTTCTTTTTGGATCACTTAATCATCTACAAAATGAGGTTAATAATCCCTTCCTCATTGCTTGTTTTTGGTGAGAATTAAATGAGAAGATATGTAAAGCATTGATATAATAAATGCACAATAATGTTTTCCAATTGTGTTAACAATTTTTAGGACATAACCACAATTTTAGGAGCTCTGGTAGCATAGTGCTTAAGGCACTTAACTGCTAACCAGAAGGCTGACGGTTCAAACCTACCAGCCACTCCTCAGAAGGAAGATGGGGCAATCTACTTCCATAGTGATACTGCTTCGGAAACCCAAGGAGGGGTCGCTATGAGTCGGGTCTGACTCAACGGCACATAACATCAACAATAACAATGACAATTTTATTGGTTACCACAGAAAATGATATATAAACAAAGAGAATTATCATCAAAACAAACAGCCACATAATCCCAACCAGGTCAAGAAAAATAATATCATCATTATCCCAGAAGCCTCTTCCTTGTTCCTCTCCCAAATAATACTGTCTCCTTCCTTCCTACAGCAAACACTTTTCTTAACTTTGAACATTATTTTTTTTAATTGTTGATGTTGACAATATACACACCAAAACATACACCAATTTAACCATTTTTACATGTATGATTCAGTGACATTGATTACATTATTTGAGTTGTGCAATCATTCTCATCCTCCTTTTCTGAGTTGTTCCTCGCCTTTTAACACCAACCCACTGCTCCCTAAGTTTTCTGTCTAATCTTTGAGTGGCTATTGTCAATTCGACACCATATAGATAGTTCTTAAAAGAGCACAGTGCTCAAGGCAGACATTTTCTACTAGGTAAACTAAACTATTGTTTGGTTTTAAGAAGACTTCAAGGTATACTTTTGCTTAAGTTTTGGGTTTGGTTAAAGGTTTATCTCAGGGTAATAGTTTCAGGGGTTGATCTAGCATCCATGGCTCCAGAAAGTCCAGAATCTCTGAAATTCTGTACTACATTTCTCCCTCTTTTGATCAAGATTCTGCTTTAGAATATTTGCTCAAAATGTTCAGTAATGGCAGTTATAAACACTCTTTCATTCTTCTAGTCTTATGGCAAATTAGCATTATTATTATTTTTAGCCTGTTTTTATTTTATGCATATGGAATCACACAAAATGTGGGACTTTTTAAGTTCTATAATATGTTTGTGAGATTCATCCATGTTGTTGCTTATAGGTCTGATTTGTTAATTTTCTGTGTATAAATATTCTCCAATGTATTAAGCAGTCTGTTAATGCTGGGCATTTAAGTTGAAACCTCTCAAGATAATGCTACTATGAATGTTCTTGTATGCCTGTCTGGCTTTCTTTTTTAAGTAGAGTTTTCTTAAGTGATAAACAGAAGTTATGTAAAATATCAATTTATCAATGTGGTAGATCTCAAAACCACAGGAATCCTCAGAAATGGACGTTTGCTAAAAGCTTTCAAGAATAAGAGTCTATCAGGATGTATTATGCATATATGTAAGTAGCTTCCTGTGAGAAATCATCAAGCAAGAGAGGGGCACCTAAAATCCACAGACAATCAGAAGGATTTCTCAGCAGCTCCTCAGAACTCAATGAAAACCCAGCAGGAATGAGGCTGAAAATACTGGTAATACTCTCAGGGAGAGCTCTTGAAGTCCAAGTAATACTGGACCTAAATAATACAAGTTGTATTATTTGGTCTCTTTTCCTACCTCATCCTTAGTCAGGAGGCTTTTCGAGAAAAAATATGATCCACGTCAAAGAACTAAATATCAATTTTGAAACTTCACTGCTTAAGGAGGAATAGTCTAAACACTTTTTTATTTAGGAATAATCTTTAAGTTAAAAGCACTTTAAACTTAAATCTAGCTTACCATCTAACTGGGGTAAGCAGCTATGAGTGCTGACACTTCCTTTGACTGGCTGTGTGACTTTAAGAAAGTCACATGCCACTCTGAGCCTCAATTTATCTCAAAAGGAATGTAACCCAAGCTATACTTTTGTCTCAAGTGGTCTTTGTGAGGCTCAAGTGATATATTTGTGAATTTTGTAAACTGTAAGATATTAAAGAGATATTATTTTAATGAAAATAAATGGAGGTTAGTGTTTGTTAGGGCTTATTTAGGACTTGTATTGTTCAAGGTGCTTCTACCTACATCACATTTAATCTTCATAGCAACACTATGAAGTCAGTAAGATTATTATTGGGGTTATTTTTCACAGGCTGTTTGAGACTGAGGCTAGGATTTTTATACAAACCTGATTCTAACACTCTTCCCATACTATCCTTTTAATAACTGTGGCACTTCTCTGCTTTAGTGGCAAAATGGTGTCCTTGAATTGCTTATGGCTTCAAATCTCCTCTCAGCCACTATCCAGGTGGGCATATTTTTCCAACACTCTCCTCACCACCAACCATATTCTCCACTGATAAATAAGAGGGTTGGATTAAATAACCTGTTAAAAACTAAGTCTGTATAATGTGACATTAAGTAGGAAGACAGCATGATGAAGTGAAAAGCATTATGAAAAAAAGCGTTGTTAATTTCAAACTCAAATAACCCAAACTAGATGCTAGCAAATGTTTTCAAGTGGAATTTCTGGCTCATTCACTTTAAATAATGGATACAATTATGGTACAATCAGTATTGTCATTTTCATAATAAATATGCCATGTGATATCTTTATAAACAGTATGTTTCCATAAGTAGATTGAAGAAATAAGTCAGCCCTGACCAATATGCTCACTGCTGTCGAGTTGGATCCAACTCACAGCAACTCCTCCTGGGTTTCCAAGATAGTATCACTATGGAAGTAGATTGCCCAATCTTCCTTCCAAGGAGCAGCTGATGGGTTTGAACCACCAGCTTTCTGGTTAGCAGTCAAATGCCTTAGGCACTATGCCTAGAGCTCATATATATCAAATTGCTAAACAACCTTTGAAATATTTGAGTCTAGCCTATTAAAGTTTTAGTGTGGATATTTAATTTAGTAACTAAAACTGCTATTATTTTCTTTCAGATTTAAATACCACCAAAGAAAGCTACAATGTTGACCTTAGTCAAAATTCTGTTGATACCAACTTTGTTTAGCTCACTACTGTTGGGAAGCTTTGGAAAAGAAAATTCAGAAACAAGCATACCACAAAACAACACAGAAGTCTTACAAACAATGAGAAATGAAACTGTGTCTTTGGAAAATGAAGAAAAATCAGACAAAGAAAGTGGAGAAACTTCCAATCCCAAGACAAGCAATTCCTCTGCTTTAGATCCATTAAACAAAATCCAAACAAAGACAACTTTCTCCAGTGACTGGTCAACAGACAACTCTTCTGATAGCATAACACCTCAATCTACAATTTCCACAAGCCCTCCCTTGGTCCACAGCTTTGTTTCTAATATGCCTTGGAACTCATCTGTTGAAGAAGAACATTCTTTCCCAGTCTTAGTACCTTCCAATGCTACACTACCTGCTATACCTTCATCTTTGAATACTTTGACCAATGATACCATAGATGCTTCTGACAACAGTTCCATGACAGTTACTATTCTGCCTCCAGCACCAACTACCATCTCTGTGACCCCCTTGCAAATGGAACCAACTACATGGCTTACCACAACCAGTGATAGTTTGGATGGGTTTACCCCCTATCAAGAAATAACAACTCCACAGCCCACTCTAAAATTTACCAATAGCTCAAAAATCTTTCCAAATACTGCAGACCCCCAAGAAGGTAAATATAAATGATCACCACTTTCCTTTTGAGTGAAAGTGAATCTCTAAGTAAATCTGACAGATTAAAGATGAGAGACATAACAAACCTGGGGAAAAAAAGAGAGCAATATAATAGTACAAATGGTTCTTGTGGGGAGCAGCCATCATGTTCAATGGAAATATTGAAGTGATTTTAAGGCTTAAGTTAACATATACTTGTCATTACTAAGGCTCTCTGGTGATAGAGTAGGAGCTCTGGTGGCATAGTACCTAAGACATTTGACTGCTAACCAGAAGCCTGGCAGTTCAAATCCACCAACCAGCCACTCCTTGGAAGGAAGATTGGGCAATTCTGCCTCAGAAAGCCAGGAGGGGTTGCTATGAGTCAAATCGACTGGATGGTAGTGAGGTTTTTTGAGTTTGCCATTACTATATGGGGGCATGCTAGGAGACAATGGGATAACATGACTAGTCTGAAGAGAAATGGAAACTGAGGTAAAGGTATAGTTATGAGATAATGGGTAAAAATTTAACTGAATCTTAGAAATTCACATGCTTTTGGAAATAATAATACACAACCAAGACAATCATTCAAACAGAACAAGGGGATACTGTGTGGTTTAAAACCAGGAACAGTGTGTGTCAGGGATGTATACCTTCAGCATACTTATTCAATTTCTGTGCTAAGCAAATAATCTGAGAAGCTGGATTATATCAAGGAGAAGGTAGCAGCAGGATTGGAAGAAGACTCATTAACAACCTGTGATATGAAGATGATGATACAACCTTCCTTGCTGAAAGTGAAGATGACCTGAAACACTTACTGATGAAGATCAAAGATCAAAGATCAAAGCCTTCAGTAAAAAATGAAGACAAAATTCCTCACAACTGGACCAATAAGCAACATCATGACAAATGGAGAAAAGATTGAAGTTGTCAAGGGTTTCATTTTACTTGGAACCATAATCAACACCCATGGAAGCAGCAGTCAAGAAATCAAAGGACATATTGCATTGGGCAAATCTGCTGCAAAAGATCTCTTTAAAGCAAAGAAGTCACTTTGAGGACTAAGGTGAGCCTAACCCAAGCCATGGGATTTTCTATCTCCTCATATGCATGTGAAACCTGGACAATGCATAAGGAAGACTGAAGAAGAATTTATGTATTTGAATTATTGTGTTGGTAAAGAATCTCGAATATACCATGGAATGGCAGAAGAATGAACAAATCTGTTTTAGAGGAAGTACAGCCAGAAGGCTCCTTAGCACCCAGACTTCATCTCACATACTTTAGAAATCTCATGAGGCGGGATCAGTTCCTGGAGAAGGACATCAAGCTTGGTAAAGTAGAGGGTCAGTGGAAAAGAGGAAGGCCCTCAACCAGATGGGTCGACACAATGGCTGCAACAGTGGGATCAGACACAGTAGCCCCTGTGAGGATGGCACAGGACCAGTCATTGGGCTGTTGTGTTGTACACAGGGTCACTGAGTCCGAGTCAATTACATTAACAATGTGAAAACCAAATCATTTATACACATTCCTGTTTGAATGTTGTTGCTAATGGAGAGGAAAATTTCAAATTCTGAAGTCTAATCTTTAGAGCACCACACTAATTTGTATGCACATATTTTAATTTTAGTTATAATTTCAACATACCCTGTAATTCATACATATTCTCATAGTCCATTAGAAAGAACATTTGAAAATATTGCCAGATTTGTCTCTCTGAACTGAATACAGGCAGTCCCTAGGTTATGAATGAGATCCATTCCTAAGTGTGTCTGTTAAGTCCAATTTGTTCACAAGTTGGAACAGGTACATTTGGTTCTGATTAACCTTATTTTAGTACAAGAAAAGGTCCGAAGCCTTTTCAATGATCAAAAGCCGCATGTACCACAAATAAATGTGATTGTTATGAAGAACTTGAAATGTTGCAAGTAGGGGTTGGTTCAATTGGTTCAAAGTGAGGGCAAATTTACATAAAGGCAAGTACAAGTTGTCTGTAAGGCAGACGTTTCTAACTTGAGGACTCCCTATGCAGATACAATACTGAGTGCTTACTGCTATCATCATCCTATTATCTAAAGAAACTAAATAAAAATAAAATTGTTCTTTCTTTTTTTTTATTTTAATAGTAACATTACAGTGCTCCGATGTAAACATTAAATTTCATAGAATCAGGCAGTCATACAGAACCAGAGAACCTAAAAGACTCCTTGCTTATCTAATAAGGTTCTTTAGAAATGAAAAAATACACAGAAAAGGAAATACACCAAATATTTGGACATTAGGATCACAGAAAGTTGAACACAGACTCTATTTCATACTATTAGAAATAACAATTTTAGTATGCCTCACTAGTTCTCAGAAGTTAAAATAGCATAATTGATTGAAATAAAGCGATAATGATGTGGAAATTGCATATAAGGCAGTAAGTAGTACAAAACTAAAGGGCTCACCTCCTGTGAGTCCAGTATAATAACCACACCAATTTAAAAATTAAAATAGCTTTCAAATAAGATACTCAATAAAGGTGATATAGAGTGAAACTTTGGACTCCTTTCAGCTCAGACCTTTATATCTGTTCAGATTGTGCAAAGCAATATCTTGCTTTGGTCTGTTTGCTTGATTTGGAAATATATCAGGATATCCTATATTAGTATATACCATTTTTCTTCTTTATGGTTCCTTTCACTTGATATTTTGTAAATTCTTTTCCTATTACTCCTATGACCTTTTATAGATACAAGCTTGAAGTTCATTTTATCAGTTAAGTTTATGAGAGATTTCAAATTGAGAAAAACTTTAATGAACATAGCTTTTTACATTAATGTTAAGTCTTAATAGCATATACACGTAGAATTCCAGTACTATTGGTGTTAGTAAGTGATGAGACAGTTATAAAACAAAGATTTATGAGAATTTCAAGATAATTAAAAATGATAAGTATGGTTTTATCAGGAAGTGTATTTTGCCAACATATCCTAGGAGATCTGCTGGAATAGTGCCCAAGGCATTTTGACTGCTAACCAGAAGGCTAGCATTTCAAACCTACCAGCCACTTCTCAGAAGGAAGACGGTAAGGTACTTCCGTAGAGATACCGCCTCAGAAACCCAAGGAGGAGTTGTATGAGTTGGATTGACTCGGTGACAGTGAGTTTTTTTTTTTTTTTTTTTTAAATACATACACACATGAAATCACTATTATCTAATTTTAAAAAAATACTATTAAACATACTTTGATATATGGAAAGTCCACATGAAATATTTGTTCTTTGAATAATTATTTCCCATTTCTTATCTGTAAATTAATTTTTTTGCCTTTGTTTTTGTTTTCTAGAGAATAGAAATACAGGAGTAGTATTTGGGGCCATTTTAGGTGCTATTCTGGGTGCTTCATTGCTTAGTCTTGTTGGCTACTTGTTGTGTGGGAAAAGGAAAACAGATTCATTTTCCCATCGGCGACTTTACGACGACAGAAACGAACCAGGTAAAAACAACTTTCAGAACTTCCCCTGAACACAGTGGTTTTAATTAAGTGAGGATGTTAACGTTTATTGAATTGCTTAGAAGGGATTCATGTGACAAAAACAAACTAAAAATTTATTGTGATCCACTTTCTGTATCTCAAAGAACAAAACCAAAGAAATTGTTGTCTTGTCAGTGGAATTTAAAAGCCATTTGGAACTGTTGCTCATTTTATCAAGAGTTGTTTAAAACAGTAATCCCAGAATCTAAAACATATCTATAAAACTGGAAGAAAATTATAGCATATTAGGAGAGAAAAAAGGGTCAACTTTGTTAATAAGTGATTGAAAAGCCATTCTTTGCCACTGTTGGATCTCTTAATAGGAGTAATTTGAATAAAGATTTATTCTCCCTTGGCATTCTTTAAAGTTTACACACAAACAATAGCCCTCTGTTAATTATCTTAATGAGTCTCTAAAAAATATCTAGAGAGTTTCAAATTTGGATATATAAAGTCAGAACATAATCCAGGAATTTTCCAACCATGTGATATGAGAAGTCAACCATAATATCTATGAATGAAAAATGTATCTGCTAAAAATAAAGCAGAGTTTGATGTTTAGTAGTATAATATTAATTAGAACAGAAATTAAAGAACTTTAATACTTGATTCATCTCTTTTTTTATCCTTCAGAAAAACAAAACAAAAAAACTGTTTACTCGCTTACACCAAAGACTCTTGCTACTATAAAATTAGTTAAGTGTCCCTGGTGAGTCCCACTGATGAAGTGTTATTAATTTTTAATTTTTAATAAGTTCAGATCATGTATGACATATCACTTATTTTCATAACCAAGTCCAATAAGTGTAAATTGAACAGAATTCTGCTTATGGGCCTCTTGTAATCCATATAAAATAAACAATGGCATTCTTCATAATTACAGGATGCAATTTCCAATGACAATGATTTCTAAACTTTTTTTTTTTTTTAATCTCAAAACCTTGTCTTTCCCTGTGGCCTCACGCAAAAGTTAAGTTTATCAGACCTACACAATCTAAACAGTTGTGATGAGGGATAAGAGGATAGCTCAACCGTACCACCTGTTAAAACCCTTTAAAAGAAAATTGAGACCAAAACAAAACCAAGATACTTGCCATTGAATCAATTCTGACTCATGGTGACTTCATCATGTATGTCAGACTAGAAATGTGCTCTAAAGCGGTTTTAATGGCTGATATATAAGAAGTAAATAGCCATGATCTTTCTTCTGAGGAACCTCTGGGTGGAAGCCTTAGTTTGCAGCCCAGTGCATTAATTATTTGCACCACTCAGGAACTCTACCTTTAAGACACCTCTCCCAAAGCCCTATGACTCCTGGGAGCTTGGTTTGAAAACAATGGATCAAGGAATAGATAAGAATCATATGAAAATACTTAATTGAATAATTAAATTTCTAATAAGGTCACTGCATGCAGTCTTTGAAGATGTCTCAATGCATGGCTGTTTTCCTTTAAAAATAAATTCCAGTTCATTATGAAAATATTTGACTGTTTGTAACACTTGGTACAATAATGACATTAATTTTAAAATTAATGCTCCTTTTAAAAAGGTATTTTTACACCATGAGTTAAAAATTATAAATATGTTGATAAGTCTGAAATTGTAATTCAAAAGTCAACAATGCATATATCTACACTTTTGTATACATAGCACTCATACACTTTTGCAGTGCTTTGTCCTTTAGTTTCTTTATTTTTGGCCCAACTATGGTGAAATTTTGGAAGTAAAACTGTTCTCTTCACTCAGAAATATGGCTTGAAAAATATATACTTATTTAAAATTTCTCAGCTAATATCTAGGAGCTCTGGAAGTGTAGTGCCTAAGGCACTTGACTACTAACCATAAGACTGGAGGTTCAAACCCACCAGCCACTCCTCGGAAGGAAGATGAGGCAATCTATTTCCGTAGTGATACTGCCTCAGAAACCAAGGAGGGTCCAACTCGACGGCACATAACAACAACAACAACAACAACAACAAACTAATGTCTAAAAAATCCCTACAAAATGTGTACAGTTACTCACCTAGTACAATTTCTAGATTCTGTAAGATGATCAAGCCTGAGTATTTCAGACTGCCACGTTGTCATAAAACAATTTTGTTTTTACCACTTTTTTTAGTTCTTCGATTAGACAATGCACCGGAACCTTATGATATGAGTTTTGGGAATTCTAATTACTATAACCCTACTGGGATTGATTCATCTATGCCAGAAGGCCGAGAGCATGCACATGATGGCATTCCTATGGATGACATACCTCCACTTCGTACCTCAGTATAAAACTAAGGGAAAAAGGGCTTCAGACAACAAGTGGTCACCTACATCCTGGCCTCCTCACAAATCCATCTTCCAAAAGATGATGCAAGATCACTGTCATGTGGATCATGCAAAAGAGAACAGTAAAAGAACAAGACTGGTTGCAGAAGCACACGGAGAGAGTGAATCATCCATAGGTTTCTTTTCTTAGAAGTTTTGGTTATGCTGAAACACTCATTAACTAACCTTAGTTTGGATTTTGGTCTATATTTTCTTAGTAAGAGACACTAATGGAATCAGGCTAAACTAGAAGGCCCTGCCACGATAACCCTGTAATCAAAATCCTTCAGTGACAACAGGAAACTTTTTTTTAATTTTTGAGACAGAAAGCAAGTGTTGATTCTCCAGTGCTCCTCCTACTGCCATACTTCAAGATTGGCATTCTTTTGATGGAACATTGGGAGGATGATTCTTTTATTTTTGGCTTAAAGGGCTATAAAGGACATGGCACAGAGTTCCTGTTACTGGTAAAGTGGGTAATGACAATGGAGAGACCTGTATTCCAGAATGTTTCACTTTTCTGCATTAGCACAGTCATGGTTATTCCCTTGGAGTTGCCAGGTTCACAGTGATTTTGCATTCCACTGGGCCACAGTAGAGAAGCTACTAACTGGGAAAGTAACAGCTTCTTTAAAGACTTCAATGGGTGAGGAATTCTAACTGAACCAAGCTTTACATAATTTAGGTTTTTACTGGACACTTTAAAAAATCAATGAGAAATATGATGAAAAAAGTCAGCCAAAGCATGTACCTGCACATAATTTATACACTTAAAAATGTCAGATAGTATCAAGATTTATTATATGTTAGATGTTATTGTTCAATCATGTATAGACTCTGAATATCTAGAAGAATGAAGTCTGGAGTTAAAAAAAAAATGGAAACATAAGCAAACAAACAAGAAAATGGAGATGAAATTTTCTCAGCCACATCTTCACCAGCAATAATACAAGAAGGTTAATTTAGATTCTAGAATGTTTCTATTTGATTTTAATTACTACCTGTTTTTGGTATGAAAAACATGTTCCTTAGCATAAAATGTCTAGGCTTTAGGGACTAGAGGTTTCAAAAAAGACATACATTCCCAAAGGCAATAAATGTGTGTAAATAACAAAATGCAAAGTACCAAGCTATAGATTTTATTCTTGAATTGATATATGGTGTGTGTGTGTGTGTGTGTGTGTGTGTGTAACAGAGAGAGAGAGAGGATCACACAGCAATAGCCTCAGAAAGTGAGAAGTAGAAAATAATGAAAGGGTATACTTACCCCATATTGCCATAAAAATAGCAAAGAAGACTGTCCCTCCATTATCGAACAAATATGTCACCTTCATGGGAAACAAAAAGGTTAGTCTCAACTACAATTTAATAATCCAGTGGTTATTGTTTTCATTTAGGCACTATGATATTTTTTCTTGATAGAAATACATTATTTAACAATTTGTAAATAGAAGATCTGAGATCCTTTCAGGAGTTTTGCAACTGTTGATGTTATTATTTTTTTATGGAGTAATGTGAAGGAGTAGCATTCTTTTTCTTTTCTTCTCCCCACCCTCTGGTTTCCTTTGTACCTCACCTACATTCCTGATCAGAAGTGGTTCTAGAACCTCTAAGAAGTAATCTCTGGGCCACAAGTTGTCAAACTATAATATAAGGTTGTAGGAGGTCATCTTTGCAGGCAAGGCATACCTAGTTGTATTTTCTATAAACAAGACTTCCAGGAGGAGAGCTATTTCAAAATATGGAATCTTGCCAGTCAGTCACCTTTCCAATGAAACGGTATCAAAATGTTGTCCCTGCTCTCTCACATCTTTCAGAATGTGCCATGGCCCAGAAGTGGCTACAAAAGTAATGGGTCCCACCTTAAGTTGTTTTAGGTTTCATAAATCACTGAATATTTGAAATGCACTCCATCTGTTTTTGAATTAGATAGTACCTGAAATTTGATAAAGAAAACTGTACAGTTATACAATATTAATGAATAAAATTTCAGGGTTGCAAGGATTATGCTATTTAATAAAGTGTCAGTTCAATTTACCTTTGTTAGTTTTCATTTTTATGATGCCTTTAGTATATTAAGTTAGTGATAAAGATTAAGCCAATACAGCTAAGACAGGAGATGTTTAATGACCATATAAATACCAAAGAAACTGTAAGGGCTCTCCTCTGATTGGAGGGAGAGGTTAATTGAGTTAAAGCGTACCATAAGGGAAGTGGGAATAGAATGGTGTCTTCTTTGCTCAGTCTAAAATCTAGAGGTTGCTCAATGAGGACATTAAAACAACCCTTTTCTATATTTTAATTGTAAAATCTGAGACACACTACAAAAAAAATGTAAAACAGATAACCATGGAATATATTTTTCTATAAGGTGGCATTATTGAAACTATCAACATAAAAAATATGTGCTTATTTTAGAAGCTTGATGCAAGATTTCCTATCCTACAATCTTTTAAAACTGTATGGCTTCAAGGACTGGGATATCTAAAAGTGTAAAAATTGGTTTTCAGAACAATTATCAGTGTATATTATGTACAGGAGGGAAAGGATCATAATTAAATTTTCCTACAGAGCTCATAATATAACACCACATAGGATTCCAGATTTTTTTGTTTCCAAAGGCATCCCACAGAGACACCTGAGACTGCCAAGCAAAAGAACAGATGTGTGTTCTCCTTCATAAACAGACCGAGTGCAGAAAAGAACCTCTTTGAGTGTTACAAGAGAGACCTTACAAATGGGGACTTAAAAGGTCACCAAAACATAAGGTCTCTCCTCTGATCCAGAAGCAGCCATGTTTTTAGAAAAGTGGCAAATAGAAAGCCACACTTAAAAACAATTGCACTGCACAGACCTGATTTGTTAGCTTCTATTTACAAGTCTTCTTTTCCCTTACTTGATCTCTTAACAAATCTTCAGGTAATTTAGTTTTATTTAATAAAATTGAAATGTTAGCTTTTTAGAAACATTCATAGCATATAGTGTGGTAAGCATGTAACATTTATGTAATAGGGATTATAAGGAGATGAAGCTAGAATGGGAACTAAAGACTTCAGAAATTTTCCTGAGGAGCAGTATTGACAGTATAGAAGCATTGTTTTTGACTTCCTAGTCATCGCATGAGGACAGGGTTATGATAAGGGGCACAGTGAGAGCAATTACTAGTTTGTGGTTCTGGACTTCTTGGGTGGTGCAAAGAGTTAACAAATACAGTTGTTAATTGAAATGTTGGAGGTTCACGTTCACCTAAGGCCACCTCCGAAGAAAGGCTTAGTGATCTTCTTCCAAGAAATCAGTCATTAGAAACTCTATGGAACACAGCTTTATTGTCACCCATATGAGGGCACCATGAGTTGGAATTAACTCAACAGAAACTTTTTTTTTTTTTTGATTGCTGGTTATAGGTTGAGGTGCTAAGGACTTCATTTAGAGTTCTGGCCTTAGAAATACTAGGGTGTGCTGCTATGAAATCACCCTAGAAACAGAATAGAAAGAGAAGGAAGAGTCAAGCACACCTCAAATGACTCAAAATTAGATTATAGGTGATTGAAAATAGAATATAAGGCCTTCTGTCTCAGGTCACAAATACTTGCTCTGTTGAAGAAAGCTCAAGCTGAAATACAGAAAATTCCCCAAGCAAAATACCAGATCTTACTAAAAGCAGAAAGAAACTTGTCCTGTCTAAAAAGTGTGTATTTGCAACCAATGGCTATGTTTGAAAAAAATACTTTGCCTTTATGAATAAGGAGACAATCACACAATCAATAATGTGTGTATTGGTTTTCTGATTATTGTAATTTCTTTTTAGCTTAGAAGTTTCAAGTCTATGTCTCCTGAATCTTTCTCTAAAATTGGTAGGTTCAAAAAGTATATAAGATCCTGGAAACTGATGTTGTTGTTGTTATTGTTATGTGCTGTGAAGTCAGCTCCAACTCATAGAGAACCTATGTACAACAGAATGAAACACTGCCCGGTCCTGTGCCAGCCTCGTAATCCTTGCTAAACCTGAGCCCATCGTTGCAGCCAATGTGTCAATCCACATAGTTGAGGGCATTCCTCTTTTTCATTGACCCTCCACTTTACCAAGCACGATATACTTCTTTAGGGAATGGTCCCTTCTGACAACATGACCAAAGTAGGCCAGACGAAGTCTGGCCATTCTTGCTTCCAACGAACATTCTGGCTGCACTTCTTCCAGGACAGATTTGTTTGTTCTTTTGGCAGTCTATGTACTTTCAGTATTCTTTGCCAACATCACAACTCAAAAGCATCAACTCTTCTTCAGTCTTCTTTATTCATTGTCCAGTTCTCACATGCATATGAGGTGATTGAAAATAGCATGGTTTGACATTTAGGAAAAAAAAGAGGAGGGGGCCAGGTTTGCTGGTCTGATAGAGCCTGGTGGAACCACTGTAGCTGCCCTGTAGGTCTAGAATTGAACCCACACCTGTGGCTTCCAGCCAAGCAAAAGACAGGCCATAGGAGTTGAATATTTACCTGAGGTAGATACACTCCTTGGAGAAAACAATCATGGGAGAAAGAAGGACTGTTTATGTACAGGGAGATAGCTCAGCGGGGAGGGGTGCATGGAGGGATGGACACAGGGAAGAGGTGACTGTTGGGAGGAAGTGGGAGGGGAGCTATTGCATTGTGGTGAATTGTGGTCAATGTCATGAGACAAAGTGTATGTGAACTGCTGTATGGAAAGTGATTTTGCTCTGTAAATTTTCACCCAAATAACAATTAAAAAAAAAAAGAGAAAATAGAATGGCTTGGGATAGGTGCACCTTAGTCTTCAAAGAGACATCTTTGCTCTTCAAGTACTTTAAAGAGGTCTTTTGCAGCAGATTTACCCAGTGCAATACGTCATCTGATGTCTTGACTGCTGCTTCCATTGGTGTTGATTGTGGAACCAAGTAATATGAAATCTTTGACAACTTCAATCTTTTCTCCATTTATTGTGATGCTGCTTATTGGTCCAGTTGTGAGGATTTTCATTTTCTTTAAATTGAGATGTAATCCATACTGCAGACTGCAGTCTTAATCTTCATCAGTAAGTGCTTCAAATCATCCTCACTTTCAACAAGCAAAGCTGTGTCTTCTGCATATCTCAGGTTGTTAATGAGCCTTCCTCCAATCCTGATGCCACATTCTTCTTCATATAGTCCAGCAGCTTCTCGGATTATTTGCTCAGCATACAGATTGAATAAATACGGTTAAAGGACACAACCCTGGCACACTTCCTTCCTCATTTTAAACCATGCAGTATCTCCTTGTTCTGTCTGAATGACAGCCTCCTGGTCAATGCAGGTTCCTCATGAGCACAATTAAGGATTCCCATTCTTCTCAATGGTATCCATAATTTGTTATGATCCACACAATCGAAAGATTTTGTATAGCCAATAAAATACAAGTAAATATCTTTCTGGTATTCTTTGCTTTCAGCCAAGATCCATCTGAGATCAGTAACGATATTCCATATTAGCCCTCTGGCTAAGGAGAACAAGAGGCCTCAAGCTGGATCAACCCTACAAGTTAGGTTTTACTCTGGGTGTAGGGGATGGTTTAGGCTGGAGTTCAGCCCTCTCTCATTACCTAGTCCTTAATTCTTGGACAGGACAAAAACACTTATTTATTGCATTTAGGTGCAAGCTACTTCAAACATGGGAACTTGATAAGTCCATCACACCATCCCACCGAAAGACACACACACAGAGACACATAGACACACTATTTAGGGCAGTATCTTTTTTAAAATGTGGTGCCAGGAAGCCCTGTATCAGAATCACTTGAGGAGTTTATTAACATGCAGATTCCTAGGCCTCATCTCTGACCTGCTGATTTAGAATTTCTGGATGCAGAGCACAGGAATATGTTTCTTAAACAAATGCTTTGGTGATTCATTCCAACACGTAGATTGACACTGAGTTTTCCATAAAGATTCTCAAAAAATAAATGTTATCTCAATTTCTGTTGTACTCTTAACAGCAGAGCGCAGTCTGAGACTCACACTAGGTATTGAATCATACCTTGCTGAACAAGTAAGCAAACCAAAACTAATAACTATTAGGAAAAAGACTAATTTAACTATTCAGAAATTGGATTATTTTTAGAATTATATATTTAAAAAATAACTCAAGATTCTTCTATTTAGATCATTTACTTTCAATGAGAAATTCAGGCTTGATAGGAATAGACAGCATGGTCTCAGTGCTTTTAAATGAATGTACAAATAGTATTAAATGACTTAATTACAGAAAACATTAAATCTTCATGCTTTTAAAGATTACAATTTAGAAGTCATCAAAGAATATGTTAATATACTTACATATCATTTTTATCATGTGACATGACCAATTATTTTCCATGAAAACATACAGCTGAAAGAATCATTTTGTAATTGCAGGAACCTGACTTTTATTCACTTCTCAATGGTATGAAATTTTGAAACACTTGGAGACATTTAATTTTGGTAAAAAGCTATTTGTTAGAGGGATTTATATTGTGTGCTTCTTAGAAAAAGAAGGAAGGTTGGGCAATCCTACTTCCGTAGCGATACTGCCTCGAAAGCCCAAGGAGGGGTCGCTATGAGTCGGGGCCGACTCGACGGCACATAACAACAAGAAGAATGTGAGGGTGCACCCTTACCTTGGCATAGATACAGCTGTCATTGAGTCTCTGCAGGGAACAGTTCTTGTCACAGAGAGGGCACATGAACACTTCAGCAGCTGCACAAATTTCTTGGCTTGAGAAATTGAAGAAGAAAAATAAAGCATAACTCTTGGTGTCTAGGAAGGTACTTAGTCTCTATAGCCAATTTGGGGGGAAGTAGTAGCAACGCAGAGAGGAGAACAGGATGGACTGGAAACAGTAGGAATGGTGGGCAGGTGAAGCACAACTGTAGACTGTGACTCCAACTCTGGTATTTTTGGATATTTGTAATATAGGTTTATGGTTGCTTCTTTGAATTTAGAAAATGTCACTCTGGCAAGATATTGTAATGATAACAAGCATATTTCAGCACTTGTGATCTTTTTTTTTTTTTTTTTTTTCCAGAAAGTCATGCACACACATGATTTCATGGCATTCAGGTAATCATGCGAGGCAGGCCCAGCAAAACCTTAACCAAGATCACAGGCTTTTAAGTGGCTGGGCTGGAACCAAACCGGACTATTCTGATGCTTAACCTTAGTGGTTTACCCCTGATATGGCTGCCTTAGAACCACCAAAATAAATACCATCTATAATTCACACAACCTCATATCTCACACTGCTGTCGACTGGTGGTGCATAATGGTCATTGGAAATGGGAGTATCGATTGGGTGAAGGAAAAGGCAAAATACCAAAAGCGAGTGACTAACACAATAATACTATGGAAAAGGAAGACACAAGGAGGTGCGTGACAGGTACAGAAAACAAAGATAAACCCTATGACATAAACAATAGTGCGTTATCGGTGATAACAAATATTAATCTACAGTTAAATAGATGAATAGTCAGGTTGAATGATCAGGTATGTGTAGGCAAAAGGGAATAAAGCTATGACCATACGTAAGGTTGGCAGATGTTATTTTTACTTACATATTTGTATATGCTGTAAGAATGTCCATATAACTAGAATTGACAGGGGGCAAAGTTATGACAATTTCTTAGACATGGTCAACTACCCTGAGGGAGTGAGTTGTTAGACCTGTGGGCTTGGAACCATGATTGCAGGGGACATCAACCTCAGTTGGCATAACATACTATACAAAAACATTGTTCTACATTCTACTTTGTGAGTAGTAACTGATGTCTTAAAAGCTTACAAGTAGCCATCTAGATGCAACAATGAGTCTCTCCTTGGCTGGAGCAAAGAAGAATGAAGAAAACCAAAGATACGTGGTGTGGTGGTTAACTTTGTATGTCAACTTAGCTGGGCCTGGTTGAGTGGCTGGGCAGCTCAATTCCCCATGGTAAGATTGGTAATTAACTCCATGGTGGAATCTATTGGAGCAGCTGAGTAGCTGCTTTGGGTATGTGGTCTCTAGCTTATGGCACACCTGAACCCTACATGTAGCCATGTCATTGTTCAGCAGCCTGCCATGCTCTGCCAATCTTGGGACTTTCAATGGACTTGAATTAATGGCCTGCCATGTGGTTTGTTAACATTGGGACTGTGCCTTTTTACTTGTCAACCTTGGGCTTGTCAGCCTCAGCAGCCAACAGCTGAGTGAAGAAAAGCCTCCAGCTTCAGTGGCCTGGGAGCAGAAGGCAGAGCTGAAGCCCAAGGTTGAAGGGCTTTTACCCAGCCCCTAGAGCCTGGAACTTTGAACTCGGACTTAAAGCCTCCAAACTCTAAAAGAATAAGCTCCTGTTTCTTCAAGCCATCCCATTTGTGGTATATTCTTGTCAGAATGGTATTAGGTAACCAGAACACATGGAAACAGTCCAAGGTAGTAGTAGACCATGCGAACCTCAGCCCATTTGACCATGAAACCAGAAGGACTAGATGGTGCCTGGCTACCACTGTCAACCACTCAGAAAGGGATCAGTGCGGGAGATCCTGAATAAAGGTGGAGAACAATGTGGACCAAAACTCAAAATCATAAAAAAGACAAGGTTTACTGATCTGATAAAGCCTGATGAGACCCCTTCAGAGAATGAATGGCTCCTAGTTACCCTTCAGGTCTAGAATTGAACTCACTCCTGTGGCTTCCAATCAAACAATAGACAGGCATGTAAGGTGAATATTTATATCAGGTAGATACACTGCTTAAACGATCAATCATGGGAGAACCAAACCAAAACCAAATTCACTGCTGTTGAGTCAATTTTGAGTCAGAGAGGGTTTCCGAGACAGTATCACTATGAAAGTAGATTCTCCCATCTTCCTTATGAGGAGTGGCTGGTGGGTTTGAATCGCCAGCCGTCTGGTTAGCAGTCAAATGCCTTGGCACTACGCCACCAGAGTTCCCCTTGGGAGAACAGAAGTACAGTATTTGCACAGGGAGATAGCTCGGGGGCAGGAACGCATGCCTAGCAAACAGAAGAGGTAATTACAGGGAGGAAGTGGGAAGAGAGCTGTTACATGGTGGGGAACTGCAGTCAGTGTCGTGAAACAAAATGTGGATGGACTGCTGTATGGAAAATGAATTTGCTCTGTGAACTTTCACCCAAATCACAATAAAAATGTAAAAAAAGAAGGAGTGCATGTTTTTTTTGCAGTGCCTGATGCATACTGTCACACACATTACTTACTTACACTATATTCTCTAGTAGAAGGTAATGTTATAACATGTTTTGTCAGTTCTCTCTTCGCTACCTTTACAGTGTCAGCATAAATTATACATAATTTCATGACAGGAGTAAATGACGTTTCTCAGAAGCCTCAGGGCCTCAGAGTTCACAGCAAACTATTTTAAAGATGGTTTGTTTTCTGTCATACATTGCCCTTACCTGCTTAATAGCCCCAAGTAAATTTTCTTAAATAAATCTTCTTTGTAAGTGTTAAGAAGAATTTCAAGCCTTTTGATAAACATACAGGGAAATGCAGCTGCTGTTAAAACAAGTTTAACTGGCATAATTCGCTGTTTTTATTTGCTGTATGTACCCAAATGAAGCAAAAAAAAAGACAAAGTATGTGTATTTCATGTACTAGATATATATAACATCAAGCCAAAAATGGCATAAAATAGTAAATAATGCTACCACATATTAATATAATGTCTTACAGTGGCAATGATATTGTTTCTTCTTTGCAACCTTGGCTAATGGTAATTATCTCCACTGGTTTTGGGAGCTCTGGTAGCATAGTGGCTAAGACACTTGCCTGCTAACCAGACAGCTAGCGGTTCAAACCCACCAGCCACTCCTCGGAAGGAAGGTTGGGCAATCCTACTTCCGTAGTGATACTGCCTCGGAAACCCAAGGAGGGGTTGCTATGAGTCGGGGCCGACTCGACGGCACACAACAACAACAACAACAAGGTGAAAACCACTCTGGTAGCATAGTGCCTAAGGCACTTGACTGCTAACCAGAAGTTCAAACCCACCAGCCACTCCTCGGAAGGAAGATGGGGCAATATACTTCCGTAGTGCCTTGAAAACCCAAGGAGGGGTTGCTATGAGTCAGGTCCAACTTGACGGCACATAACAACAACAACAACAGATGTACATATGTACGTGTCAATGGCTGACCCAAAGCAATGACAATCATAATAAATTTATGATGATGGCAGGAGGGATGGGCTTGTTGATTTTGGGGTGGCTGGACCTTAAAAGGAGATCTCGTGGTGCAGTGGTTGAAGCATTGACTGCTAACCAAAAGATCTGTGATTTGGACCCACCAGCTGCTCAGCAGGAGAAAGATGAGACAGAATGTTTCCGTAAAGATTTATAGCCTTGGAAATACTATGGGACAGTTCTACTTTGTGCTATAGGGTCACTATAAGCCAGAATCTACTCAATGGCCATGGGTTTTTGGTTTGGATCTGGACCTGTTCAGAGTGCTGATGCCTTCTATGATCGTGTTTCACCTGACAAAGCACAGAATAGAAAGTACCTGATCGGCTGTGTTCATCTTGGGAGAAAAATTTGGGAGTGGGTTTAAGCAGAAGCAGTATGGATAAGCATGGGTTTTAAAATCAAACAGATACAGGTTTCAAATTTAGCTCTATTTATCTATATATAAATATTTTAAATATTTATAAATTTAGCTCTATGTATCTCACTTACCAGATATATGGCCCTAACCAAGTGACTTTCTCTTTTAGCATCAATTTCTTCATCACTAAACCCAAAATGAAACCTGTTGCACATTGAGTCACAATATAGGACCAGGTAGAGCTGCTTCATAGGCTTTCCAAGACTGTAATTTTCACAGAAGCAGAATGCCACGTGTTTCTCTTGAGGAGAGACTGGTGGACTCAACTAACCTTTCCGTTAGTAGCCAAATGCTTAACCACTGCACCACCAGAGCTCCTTTCTTCATCATTAAACCAAACCAAACCCACTGTTATGAAGTCAATTCTGATTCATAGTAACACGACAGGACAGAGTAGAACTGCTCCATAGAGTTTCTAAGGCTGTAAATTTTTATGGAAGCAGACTACTTCATCTTTCTCCTGCAGAGCAGCTGGTAGGCTCAAACCACTGACATTTTGGTTAGCAGCTGAATGCTTTAACCACTGCACCACCACAGCTCCTTCTTCACAACTATCACTGGATAGGGGCAATGTCTGAGATATTACATAGGTATATTGATAAGAACTTTGCACTTTACAGGCACTTGATAAATGGAAGAAACCCTTATTACTGAGGACTCTGTCAGCAGAGGATTCCAGAGTTCCTTTAAGACCCAACAGCTTTTGTAAGGCTAGTCAGTGCTATGGGCTACATAAATTTCTGCAAGAGTTCTGAAGTCAAAGAGGTAAGAATCACCTAGAAAGTCAGGGTTTCGCCTTTTTTTCCTGGATCTGAACCCACATAAACCTACCTATTAATCTTTAAATTCACATGATAGGTTAATAAACAAAAGATAGTTTAATAAAATAATACTAATGCAAATCAACACAAGATAAAACCTCCGTTCCCCTCCCTAACTAGCCATAATAAAACCTATGACTCAACCACGTCTGACACTTTGAATAGAAAAGTTCAGTCCCATGAAATTTTGGAAGTCAAGATATTCAGTGCTGATTATCTTGTTTTAGAATAGAAAGTCTGACAGGATCTTAATTACAGTGTGACAGAAGTAGCAGTAATATAATACCATAAAATACTTGGGGAGAAAAAAAAATTAAAAAGTTTGCTCTGGTGCCATAGTGCCTAAGGCATTTGACTGCTAACCAGAAGTCTGGAGTTTCAAATCCACCAGCCACTCCTCTGGAAGGAAGACTGGGCAATCTATTTCCATAGAGATATCACCTCAGAAACCCAAGAAGGGGTCGTTAGGAGTCGGAATGGACTCAAAGGCAGTGAGTTTGGTTTGGTAAAGACTTTAAAGCATTCCTTGTATCAAAGGTTAAAGAATACTTTTCTAATACAAAAGGAGCAAATTTTCTCCACTGGTACATAAATCAGTAGAAAAAAGCAATTCAATTCATATCATTTCTTTTAATTTATTTTCAGCTTTCTAGGGGTAGAAGGAGGAAATATACTACATGAAAAATTTTGCAAATCTGTTCTCCTTGAAAACAACTCATATGACACATGATTGTATGCAAAGCATTGCCCTTATATCTTAATTCATTTTAAAACCATGTGTTCCTTTCCCAGACACTGTAACTCCAAATCACAACCTCTCCTGTAACCCCAGAACACAAATTTGGGCAAGGAGGAAAAAGCCCAAAAAAGGGATGGGTGTTTCCTGTGGGTAGAAGTTAGTCCAGGAATATGCTGCCAGCCAGAAGGGTAGTGGGTTCGCAAAACCCTGAAATAAATCTATGTGTAGGTGACATGCTTTTGAGCAGCAGGTGTTCTTTGTTTTGTGCTAATTATCATTTTGCTTTCATGAAGAACAAGAGACCTCTGAGATACCAAGTCAAGGAACTTGCTTTGGAATAGGATTAACCTCTAGGACAAAGAAGGTATTTTATTTTTAGGGAACACTGATATACACACACATACACATGCATTAATTTTTATGTATTAATTTTAAGAAAATTAATCCAACCTTAACTGTCATTGTCACTACTCAATAGCAAGGCCGTGATTAACAGATGGAACAAATGAGAAGAAATGCTGAGTTTTGAAGAAGGGTAGAGTGGTGCTTTTGCATATTTTGTATTTTATCCTGAAAGATTGAACTTGATGATATCCTTGTGCTATATTAAATAGGACGTGCTATTAAGAGGCTTATTTTATCCTAGGATGACTACTGTCTGTGCTGAAAAATAATGCATTGTTTTTATTCCCAAATCTTGAGTCATTTAAACTTTAACAGAAGAATCACAATTCTGATGTATTTTTGATTCTTGTCAAATCCTATTCTGCTATCATCTTGATATCTTAAGTTGATGCTAAGTACAATTTATAAATATCTGTTCTGGTAGAGAGTAAGAGCAAAGTAGAATATATTTTGTATGCCTTGTACTCAGGAGACAGCCTGGAGTCATAAATATTTTGTTTAGACATCATTGATATGCTACGTTCTCTCATCTGCAAAAAGTGATATTGATCCCAAAGGGTTGTAGTCAAGTTTGTATCAAATGAAAACTATCTCAAAGGACTTCCAAAATTGTTTAAAACTATTTTAACTATTATAACTATTTGAATGTATCAAGAATACATTCCCGATTACCAAATGTTATGCAAATGTAAATTATATATCATTCTCTATTGAATTGTTAAATTATTATGTGGCATAAAGAGAAAGAGAAATTGGCCTAAGAATAAACAACCTTGTAATATATCTAATAAGATTTGCACATGGAAGTACAAAAATGATCATTTATGTAGTGCTCCTCTTCAACAAAATGAAAAATAACAACCTCAAGACTTCAAACCAAAAAATACCTCAGCAAATAAACTGTGGTATTATCATTTGCTTCTTTCATTCAGCAGTATCATTAACCATTTTCCAAAACAAAAAAATAGGCCAATTTTTTTTTATGGATCTGTTAATAGCTTACCTTACTTGACTTCTATTCATTGTAAATAATCCATAGAAGAAAACACACAAGCCAACAATTGCTGCAGGAATCAACATCCCAGTATACCATCCTAGCCAAGCAAAGTAGAGCCCAATCTTTTCACCAAAGTATCGCCTGCAGGGAAAGCAAACCCTTCGTTAGAGTTAAGGTAACATAAGGGACAATGCAAATACTGATATTACACCTAGTCAGAAGTTCAGATGAAAAGTCATGGCTATCAGCTAACTTCTCTGCTGCTCCATCCATTAGTAATACTCCTACTTACTAATGAATTGGGTATAGCCTATTGGTGAAGTGTCTAAGGCATTTGGCTACTAACCAGAAGGTTGGCAGTTCAAAACCACCAGCCACTCTGTGGAAGGAAGACTGGGCAATCTACTTCTGTAAACATCTACTGCCTCGGAAACCCAAGGAGGGTGGCAGTGAGTTTGGTTTGGTTTGGTACGAATGAATCCGGTTAATAATGGTGATACAGTTTATCTTTAAACATTGCCAATAAAAGGCTAATTTGTCAATTATATTTATTTCTGTGCAAAACTTTTTTTTTTTTTTTAACGAAGGCATACCTCATTTTATTGCACTTCCTTTACTGCGCTTTGCTGCAATCTTGTTTTTCACAAATTGAAGATTTGTGGCAGCTCTGCATCACGAAAGTCTATTGGTGCAATTTTTCAAACAGCATATGCTCACTTCATGTCTTTGTTTCACATTTTGGTAATTATCACATTATTTCAAACATTTTCATAATGCTAAAGCACACTTTGTAGACTACTATATAATGTGCACAAACTTTTCTATGGAAAGGGAAGCCAAAAAAATCATGTGACTCACTTATTTTGATGATCTGGAACTGAACCCACAGTATCTGCAGGGTATGCATGTGTACTTTTATTTATTTTGTTGGTGAGAATATACACAGCAAAATGTTCACCAATTCAACCATTTCTACATTTATAACTCAGTGACATTGATTACATTCTTCAAGTTGTACAACCATTCTCACCCTCCTTTTCTGAGTTGTTGCACCCCTATCAATGTCAACTCATTGCCTCCTAAAATTCCTATCTAATCTTTTGAGTTTCTGTTGTCAATATGATCCCATATAGATAGTTCTTAAAAGAGAACAATGCTCAACACAGACATTTTTGACTATTTAAACTCAACTATTGTTTGGTTTTAAGACTTCAGGGATATTTTTTGTTTAAATTTTAAAAAAATTATCTGAGGTCAATATTTTCAGGTTTCATCTAACTTTCTTGGCTCCAAGAAGTCTGAGGTACATGAGAATCTGAAATTCTGTTCTGCATTTTCCCCCTTTTGATAAGGATTCTTCTATGGAATCTTTGATTAAAGTGTTCACTAATGGTAGTTAGGAACCATCGTGTTGTTCTGGTTTCATATAGATGGAGGCAGTTGTACATAGATACAATCAACTACACATTCGATTATCCTCCTCCTATTCCTGATGCTCCTTCTACCTGTATTGTTCTGGGTGAATAGAGACCAATTGTGCACTGAATGGCCACATGCAAGCTTATAAGGCTCCAGACACTACACACTGACACTAAATATGTTATCAGGGCAATTAACTAGCATGTCCCATGAAACCATGGCCCTAAAACTCTAAACCAAGAAACCAAACCCCAAGAGGTTTTTGGTTGTACATAAGCAGCCTCAGCAGCCACCTTTTCCCCACCTCACCCCCATTATTTAAATATATTTATTACATAACTTTTGCCATCCACTTTTTATAGGTGTACAACTAATTGACAAAACCAAACCAAACCCACTGCCATTGAGTTGATTCCAACTTATAGTGACACCCGCTGGGTTTCTGAGGCAGTAGATTGCCCAGTCTTGCTTCCGTGGAGTGCCTGGTGGGTTTGAACCAGCAACCTTCTGGTTAGCTGTCAGATGTCTTAGGCACTGTGCTACCAGAGCTCCTTAACTAATTTACAGCAACTTATATATTCAACAGTTCAAATCCACCAGCCACTCTTTAGAAGGAAGGTTGGGCAATCTACTTCCGTAGTGATACTGCCTTGGAAACCCAAGGAGGGGTCAC